TATTATATATATATATATAGAAATGTAAAGTGCGAAGATAAAACCCTACGCTATTACATGGCTTCAGGGAGGGGGTTTACAATGTACAAAAATTAGGGGAAGAAAAAAAATAAAGAAAGCGGTAAAAATCCTAATTAGTTTATTACATCCAGTATACAGGTACAATAATGAATAGAAATTTCAAAAATAAATAATGCGCGTGGAAGTTGAAAATACGTCTAACAACCTAGTAAGAAAATCTTTTTGCTTATTTTTTTATTTAAGAAAGTAAATAACCGAAAAATCTATTTAGAAAATAAAATTAATCAAGAAAAATAGTCTAAATTCTTTTTTAGTTTTTTTATTATTTAAAGAAAATAATTAAACATGAATTAAGTCCTAAGTTCTAATTTATTTTTAATTAAAGAAAAATAGTTAAAATAGTTATTAATTAATTCACAAAATTGATTTAATTAAAAAACTAAAACTATATTTTTTGTGATTTTATTATTACATTATACTAATTAAATAAATGAAGAAAAAAATTAAAATAAAAAACATATAAAGCAAAGTGACAAAAACAATGCGAAATGGGCCAGGATAATTAGAAATTGGGGGGTGCTGAAATTGAATTTTGCTAGGCTCAAGTGAATGTTAAGCTCAGGCTTACTGGATCAGGTGAGATGAGGCCTTGAGGGCGCATGGTGGATCTCAAATTGAAGCCTTTAAATCTAGACCCCTTATGATTTGAGGCTAGATCTGATGGTGTTTGGTACACTTCTGACCATGTAATGCATCAAATTTGCATGAAACAAGTTAGAAAATATAAAAATGGAGCTTACTGAGGCATTTTGTGATGTTTCAGGACTTGGTAATGATTGCAAAAGCTTCAGGGAGCCTCCAAGAATATATTTGTATCTTTTGTTTGGACTGAGGAAGGCTGGAACCTAAAATGTGAATTTTACTATTTTGATTTTTTTGCTAAATTTGTAGAGCTTTTCCAGGTTGTATATCATGTGTCTTGAAGCTTGCTAATGTGTCCTTTATTTAGAGGGAATGGAGGATACAAGAGAACAAAGGTAATTACAACCATAAACATGTGTTTTTAAAGCCATGAATGATGTTTTATAACTTTTTCAAAGACATAGAATCTGTCCTTTTTAAATTTGAATGAATATGGACATTGCTTGCACGAAATTTTATGGGCCTAGGTTGTCCAAAACATCAACCCAAAGCTCAAAATAGTTAGCAAATTCAAGGCATGGCAAGAATAATTTTATAGGTCCTCTATAGGCTTATTAAGATGTTTGAAGTCCAAGAAATTAAGCCATTGACCTAAAACTTCAAGTTTGCTCAATGCATAATTCTTGAAAATTCCCAAATTTTCCCAACTTGGGAAAGTCAAAAATTTCTTAATTTTTATCTCATGATGATGATCTTTGACTTTTTAGAAAGCCCAAGATATCTACTTCAATCCCTTGTTTGATCAATTTTACATTTGAAGATTTTATCTTGATGTAAATGTTCTTGACAAAAAGTGTCTTTTGTTGACTTTCTGAAAATGACATGTAATGTATAAGCGTGTATCTTTAAAATGATGCATTTATTGGACTTTAGGACTGAAGAGAAGTTGTAGGTAATTGGATTCTCTTCAAAATGAGATTTGGTTGGGAAAAAATGGATGAAGTATGAGAAAGTTATGCCTGGTCAAAGTTTGGTTGACTTTTCCTATAGAAATCCTAATTAGCAATTCTTGACTTTTGATGAATTAGGAGCATTTCTTGAGGGATCATGGTCTACTTTTGATCTAGTATAGTTAATTTTCAAGCATTTGAGCAATTGACTGAGCAAACTTGTAGTGCAAGGTATGAAATTTGTCATGGATAATCTTGAAGACATATTAGGACCATTGAAGACATTTGAGACCTTCGGAGCTCACACATCTTGGTGAAAAATGAAACCCTAGTTGGAAGGCCAATGCTTAGGAGGAGAATTTGTCTGATCAATTCTTGGTCAACGTTGAGCAATTGAGGACCTCTAGGAGTATGTCTTGTGTGAAAATGGGAGGGGAAATTTTGGGGTACAACAGACACAACTCATAGATAAGAACTTGAAGCAAGTGTTTGAGGATTTAAAGATCGGAAAACACTTCACCTTAGTGGCACATCTTCAGAAAAATAGGCAGAATGAAGCGACAAACTGAGTTCTATTGAGAGGGATGAAGTTGAGACTGGAGGCGGCTAAGAGAAATTAGCCTGATGAGGTTCCACATGTCCTTTAGGATTATCAGACCACACCCCATTTAAAGATAAAAGAAACTCCCTTTTGACCTACTTATGGAATTGAAGTTGTTATTCCTATTAAAATAGGGGAGTTTACGTGGAGGATGGAGCTTATTTAAATTTTAAAAACAAAATTGTGCGCACCATACTAGTAGTCGTACGAACGCACGGGTATCCCACTAGTTGATTGTAGTGAATCTATTTTCTTTAGTCTGGACGGCTCGTGGTTTTTATTCTCATATTGAGGGGTTTTCCACGTTAAAAATATTGATATTCGTTTGTGTCTTTATTTGTTCAGTTTGCCGTCTTATATTTGTTGTTGATCCTAAAGGTTCTTACAAATATAGAAAAATGCATATTTATTGTATATTATTATGTTATTTTGTGTTAATTTCCCATTAAACTCAACTTTCCCAACGCACATAACACACCCGCATTACTAGAACCCCGAGTGCCGTAGGCCATCTGCCTTGGCGGATGAGAAAAAAAATTGTTTTTGCACCCGCCTTCCATTGCCTGTTGGACGTCACAAAATTTTGTCGCTAATTCATCTTATTATATATTAAATAAGGGCGGAAGATTGAGACAATGAAAGAGAGGAAAACATTCAAAGGAGAAAGTATAGATATGCAAAACATAGATTACTTGATTTTATATTACATTACATACGTCAATTATATTGTCCTTATCACTCTAGTATCCTTCAAACACATAACTGACAATATAGTCTACAATCCAGTATACACAAGTACAAATACGAAGTACGATTATACGTACATCAATTCAAGAAACCTTAATTTGTATATTCTCTGAATAGCATGTTGACAGCTTAAGATTAAGGACCATTCACTACTGTCTTGCTTGAAGAACATGAACTTCCAAGAGGCTGATAATTAATATATCTACTTGGAGCAGAAGATCGTCGAAACCCTTTCGGCAAACAATCCTCCACGTTTCTACCTTGGAAAACCCTTCCTCCTCCATTTCCTTTCTCAGGCTTCAAGTTTATGTATTTTGGATTAGCATTTTGTTCCAAGGGTCTTGAAGCATCCACACAAAAGGGTCCATAATTGGAAGGAGGGTTCAAAAGTAGGAGGAGAAGAAGCATAAGCTTGGAGAAAACAACTATGGACATTTTGGTAGCAAGATAGTGTTTGAAATATATATAATGTTTGGGATGTTTGTAAAGGTTATAAATTATTCAAGTGTGTATTTGCTTGGATTGAATGAGGTCTTAAATAGGGTCATGAGAAGAAGAAGTAGATTTAGATATGACCAACTCATTGCTAGCTAGCAAGGCATTGTTGCTGGCAAATTGAACTTGTTGAGACAGAAATGTGACTTTGCATTCACTTTTTTGAAGATGGAAGTAATGCTCGTGCCTTTCATAACTATCTTTTTTACTTACCCTTTCAATCTTTGACGAAATCATGCAATAATATTCTTATGTTACTTAAAACTTTATCCTTTCTACTCTCGCTCATCATTTTTCACGTCATTTACAGCATTTAATAAAAGATTTAAAATGTTGTAAAAAGTACAGTCGATTTAATCAATAAAATAAATAAATTTATTATATGGAAGGAACGAATATAAACTATAAATTGATTTATTTTCAATTAATAATTTTATGTAAAAATTATATTTCACCAATTTAATTGTTGAGTTTTTTTATACTATCTTAAGAGATTAATTGGTAAACATTTTCAGAATAAAATTACAATTATAATGAATTATTTTGACATATAAGTATAAAATTAAAAATTAAAATAAATAAATTATAATTAAATTATTTTAATAACTACTTCTTCAATGTTTTTTTTAATAGCAAAATGAATTAAAGGTTAAATAAGTTTTGATCATTCTAAATATTTCAAATTTCGTTTTTAGTCCTTCTAAAATTTTTCTTTAAAGAATGGTCCACCTAAAAAATTAAATTGTAGCTTTTGGTCCTTCCTAACAAAATCACAGTTAAAATTGTCTCTAATTCCGTCGCTAAATAAAAACAGCCACTAAAATTGTCACTAAAACCGTCGCTAAGTTGTAAAAACCGTCGCTAAATTGCAGGAGGGACCAAAAGTTAAAATTTAATTATTTAGGAGGACCATTCTTTGAAGGAAAATTTTAGAGGAACTAAAAACGAAATTTGAGATATTTAAAGGGACCAAAAACTTATTTCACCCATGAATTAATATTAGCACTAGGAATGCTAGTTGAAACAGAATACAAGCCTTTAAGTTACACAAAAGACAACAGATCACACAATACATAATGCTATCACACTAGATTGAGAAAATAACACAAAAAACTACACCAGTTACTACAAGCTCCCAAATCTATCAAACAACTTCCAATCCCACCGACCAGCAAAATCAAAGAACTAGATCCTCTTCCAATCCCTCGATTAAACGAAATCGACGGCGCCATCATCAAACCAAGTTCCAACTGCAAAGGAACAAACAAACATTGTCCACTTTTGCAGAACAACGAGATGCCAGACCCATTACAACATTACTCCCAGCCTCATGGAGATACATCATAACATAAAATAATGTTGTAACACGTTATTTCTTTTTGCACAAGTTTGGAGCTGTAAAATGTAACAATAGAAGAAGAAGTTACAGTAACATGTGTAATTTAGCAACAAACTAAATTTGCATTACCATTTGGTCTAAGTCCACCACTTCTCAAGCTCCACCTGAAAAAGCAGACATTGCCAGTACCAAACATTTTAACTCCCTAAACCTACCAGACTGCAACTATAGACTCCAACCCAGACTCCACGATGCATCGCAAATTATCACGGCATCTTTTAACCATTTCAATCTAGCCACGACCAAGTACTGGAGAAATATTTACACTGATCCAAACTGGTATTCATAACTCCGACACATACCATGAATCCTAAACCTCCCTCCACATAATGCGACACCGGCTCCAAGATCAATATTGCACACACCTCCAGCCAAGACATTCGATTGGACTTTGTTCTTCAATGTATAAATAAGGTAAAATACTCTTTTTCACCCTGTATGTTAATGTCAAGGTTCATTTTGGTCCCTTAACTTAAAAAAAGTTCATATTAGTCCTTTAACTATTCAAAATGCTTCATTTTTGTCATTTTTGTCTAATTAGCGACCAATTTAGCGATCAATTTCTGAGTTTTTCTGTCACAAATTAGACAAAAAGGACTAGAATGAAGCGTTTTAAAAAGTTAAAGGAGCAATATGAACATTATTTAAGTTAAGGGACCAAAATGAACCTTAACGTTAACAGACATGACCAAAAAAGATATTTTGTCTATAAATAATCATAAAAACTAGATGAATAACATTAGTATCTTATAGTTATTATTTCACTTGAATTCCTAATATTATATGATACTACGAATTTAACTTCCTTGATTAATTAAGTATCAAATTTCTCTTAAAATTTTATTAAAATTTATAAACTTGATCTTTTTATTTCATACTTTTTTACCATCCAATGCATGGTAATTTGTTTGACTCTATTAAAGTTTCAACAAACTCCACTTAGATTAGTCTTTTAGTTCCTTTTATATAAAGAGTTGTATATTCAGATTTTATTTTTTAATTCATTTTTAAATTCAATAATAGAATGGCCCAATGGACCAGTCTTTCATCTCTTTGCACCTTGTAATATGGGATCATGAGACCCAAGCCACAATTTCATCCATATCCATCGTCTTCATTCAATTCTAGGGTTTCCTTAGTTCACTTTCATTCTCCATTATCGACACCATCATAATTTCCTCCGATCATATAAAGACCCATTCTTGAACCGTAGGGACCCCTTCTTAATCCCGGTGAAAACCCTAGCGTGAATCTCGTTTCTCCACCACTCTACGACAAAAATTACCATAATTTGAGAAAATCCATGTGTCGCACCCTCACCTACAAGAATAAACTTTGTTTCATCATCGGAACCATAACCAAACCAATTTCCACCGATCTAAACTTTGAACTATAAGATCAAGCTAACCGCATGGTGATTTCATGGATCAATCGCACCCTCTCCCCTTATATCGCTCAAAGCACAATCTGTTTCGACTCATCCTTCGATCTTTGAGACGATCTTCATGAGCGATTCACCAAGGGAAATCATTTTCGTTTCTCTAATTTACTACACGGTCTTCATTTCGTCAAACAAGGTGACAAATCTCCATCTCAATATTTTACTGACTTGAAGATTTTATGGGATGAATTTAAATATTTGCGACCCAATCCATCATGTTCTTGTCCCATTTCTTACACCTGTGATGTTGCAAAATCTCTGCATAAATACAAGTATTTAGAGTACGTAACCTATTTCCTAAAAGAACTCAACAACAACTATCACAACATTCGCACTCAAATCTTGCTGCTTGATCCTCTTCCAAGCATTAGTCGTGTGTACTCTTTCATTGCTCAACAACGAAACTGCTATATCATCGCCTTCCACCTCTACTCCCACCATTCTCTATACAGGGCAACCAAATGCCGCAGGTCGTCACAAAGAAAGAGGAACTACTAAGACTCATATGATATGTACCAACTACAGTAAAACCAACCATACGGTGGACACATGTTACTTCAAACATGGATTTCCACCAGGATATGGAACTAGAAACTCCAAGAGTTCATCATATTCAAAGTCCAACACTAACACAAACAAAATTGCAGTTGTTTCAAAGGAAGACTATCAACATCTTATTCAACTTCTGCAATAATCCAAGAAAGAGGCCCAAAGTTCCAACACGGACAATACTCCTTATACTGACAATCACATAGTCTCATGTATCAACCAAACAAATACTGATTTAAACCTTTCATCTTTGTGGATTTAGGAGTCAGGGGCATCTGACCATGTATGCCCCTTCATCAAATTGTTTTCTAGAATTAGGACTATTAACCCATTCACACCCATATGCCTAATGGTAATACCATTGTTTCCTATTTCTCAAGCACAATCAACCTTGATCCTTGCTTAACCTTACATGATATCTTGTTTATTCCTGAATGTTGCTTTAGCCTCATTTCAATATTGAAATTATGTATCAACTTACAATACACTATTTCATTCTCACACAATTCCTATCATATTCAGGATGTGTCTACAAACAGGAGGATTGGCCATGTGATTTCACATAACAACATCTACATATTCCATAAAGCTCATATACATTTCACTCACGCACATAATTGTAATACTAATACATGTAGTAATGATACACTGAATACTATTAATGCTACTTTTAACGTTAATATATGGCATACTAGGCTTAGCCACCCCTCTAATGATATTTTACTTAACATATCACAATCTTTTCCTTTCATTAAATATCACAAATAGTCTATTTGTAATGCTGTCCATTTAGCCAAACAATGCAGACTTCCTTTCCCTAACAATAATTCTAATTCCTCTACATGCGTTGAATTTATTCATATGGACATATGGAGTCCCGTATTTGTGCATTCTTTGGAAGGTATCAAATTTTTTTACTATTGTTGATGATTTACATGCTATACATGGACTTTCCTAATGCATAATAAATCTGAAACACACATATACAAAACTTCATAGCATATTGTCACAATCGATTTTCTTGCAAAATTAAAACTATACGTATTAATAATGGTCTGGAATTTATTAGTCCTTCATATTATGCATTTTTAGGCATCTTACATCAATATAGATGTATTGAAACTCCTCAACATAATTTTGTTGTTGATGTTAGAGCAAGAAAGCTTCTAAGCAATTCTTTGTTTTGAAGATAACAACCATATATTTTGTGAGTAACAATTTTAGTGCTACTAATGGTTTCATTGAGTGTGCAGATATAATAACAAGAAACCTTCTGTAAGAGAGCATGCACAAATATAGCTCAGAAAGCTGAAGATACAAGAATCAGAAAGCTTCTACAACTGAAGTTGTCTTTCAAGATAAGTTGATGTCGATACATCTGAAGACGTGATCGTCCATCAGAAAGATTCTAAGAGCTTGAGTAAATATAGCTCAGAAAGCTGAAGATATAAGAATCAGAAAGCTTCTACAACTGAAGTTGTCTTTCATGATAAGCTGCTGCCTATACATCTGAAGACGTGATCATCCATCAAAAAGATTCTAAGAGCTTGC